ACCAGAGTGAAAATGGTGGCCTCCCAATCGCCGCCTGGAGGAGCCAAGAACTCAGGGCCCCGCTCCTCAGTGCGCCCCCAGAGAAAAGCAGTCACTCCCGTCTCCCCAGTCTCCGGCCCCACTCCATGTTCACCCAGCCTGTGATCGAGTGTTTCTATCTCTGGCACCCGACCCTGTGTGGAGTCTCCAAACCCAGCAGATCCCTGCGGTGCGCTCCCGCGCCACTCCTTCCGGGGGAGGAAGGGGAGTCTCCCCAGCTCTGCCGCTTGTTGGGTCCCTGCTGGAGGTGCAGTGGCCTGACTGGGCCGCGGATCACAGTTTATGGCAACCCCGAGCTGAGAGCCTGCGCCTCTGCTCCGTCTCTGCAGCCGGCTTCCCCGCTCCGATACCTGGGAGCTCTGCCGCACTCAGGCACCCCCAGTCTTTCTGTGACCCCAAGGGTTCTGAGACCACACTGTCCCGCGAGGGTTCCACCCCCCCGCTTAGCCACTGGAGCGACGTCCCTCAGCAGAGCCGACTTCTAAAAGTTCCAGTTTTGTGCTCCGTGGCTCTAGCACTTGCCAGAAGCAGCTGACGGAGGCCCCCTCCCCCGTCGTCTATCCTCGCGAATATCGCCTTGGATTCACTTCTCCGCACGTCCTACCTTCCAGTAAGTGGTCGCTTTTTGTTCAGAGAGTTGTTGCTATTCTTCTCCTCGATCTCCTGTTGAGTTCGTAGGTGTTCAGAATGGTTTGATCCCTATTCAGCTGAATTCCTGAGACCAGAGAAAACCCAGGTCTCCTACTCCTCCGCCATCTTGCTCCGCCCCCCCCTCCCCGCACTGCTTATAACAAGGTGCAGGGGAGCAATTTGAGCCTGATGTCAGACATTTGATCAACAGACCCCAAAACAGGCCCCCTATATATACATCCTACAGCAAAGGGACAGGGGAGCTGAAGGACAGCTTATAAATGGACTTTGTCCCCCTCTCCCCCCACTTTTACTCAGCCTGAATCTTTCACTTTGTTTTCTCTCCCAGTGTAGATATGTGGCTGGTCCCCCTTCAGTGGCATATTTAGTGCCTTGGGAGATCACAACCATGGGGCCCCAATGACCCCAGCCTCTTCCCACCTGGGGTCTAGCAGGTTGCCCCTCACCCTTCTTGAGCTCTCTGTTTCTCTGAGCAGAGGGGTCTCTGTTTGGTTTCCTGGATGTTTCTCTTGGCCTCTCCCTTCAGCCACCCTGGAGGCACAGTGATTTCCAACTACTGTGGCCCCCAGGCTTCCTGCTTCTTGTAATTCCATTTAAGTGAGTGTTGCATCAGTAGCTTTAGAATTATCTGGAGAGCCTTTAGAATATTCAGGAGTGATGTCTGCTCCTTCCAGCTCACTGAGTCTGACAGAGGGGGTCCTCTGCTTAATATCAGCATGTTTGGGCAAAACCACTGTGCCCAGGAGCTTTGAGCTAGCAAGCACCAGAGCCTTCGGATGGAGTATTAATAATAATAAACATATATAGTGCTTATCAGTGCCAGACCCTGTTGTAACTGCTTCACGTATGTCAACTTGTCCAATCCGCACAACAGCTCATCTGTGGTGGGACTAGGATTAAAGCCACTGTACAGGGGAGGAAGTGAAGGCCCAGAGAGGTTGAGTAACTTGGCCAACATCATGTATCTGGTAAGCAATGATCTGGGATGCCAATCAGGCAGTCACATTATATTATGTTGCCTCCAAAAATGCCTGTTGTTCAAAACTTACCTCCTGCCCCCCACACTGTCAGCTCAAACAAAACTCCAAGTAACTCGGCCTCGTGACTTTTTTGACTTTGAGGAAGAACCTCCATATCAGACCTGAATTTCCCAACCTCCTGTTCTTCTAGTCCATGAGGTTTTATCATTGTGATGGTGCTGCGGTGAAGGCAGTGATTCTTGGTATCAACTCAACTTTGTTTTCATTGTTATAGCAATTTTTCAAAAGCTAAGATACTCTCACCAATCCCAACCCCGGGCAGGGGTTTGAGGCCTGATGCAACTTGAGGGCCAAGTAGGGAAATGGGATGGGCAGAAGAATGTCCATCTCAGGACAAGCTGAATGTGACCTAGGGACACGTGTCCCCCCGGGGCCATCTCAGGAGGGGGTTCAGCACTGTGCATGCTCATTCTCTAAGGAGTTCAGTTGTTTGAGTGGTCCACATCTCAAATGCTTCTCTGATCCCTCCCTAAATATACAAGTCTGGGGACAGTATTTTTAAAAATGGAATGATTTCCTGCTCCTGGCCTTGGACACAGATACATTTCAGTTTAATCTTCAACATCTCCTGGCTTTGTCAGTGAAATGCATACCTCACCTTTATCACTGCAAAACCCTTTCTCAATGATGCTCTGGAGAGAGTTATGACAGCCCTTATAAGTTAATCTGGTGCTTCACAAACTTTATTTTCTGCCACTTAATGTGGTAATTCAAAAATTAAAGTGGAGAGTTCCCCATAATTAAGGGATCCATGTCGTGGTTTGCCTGGAAGAGTCAGGGGTTATGCTGATGCTCAGCATAATTGCTAATAGAGCTTCTTTTCACACCCAAGAGAATCTGATTTGAGCATCACCCATCATCAAGATGTGAGTTAGAGCAGAATAAAGGTCAGGCTGTGTCAGCAAAGCTTGTTTTGTTTGGGTCATTTGCACAAAGTTGGGATAGAAATAATGCTCTTCCTATGTGACTAAGGATTATTTTCAATACAGGTTAGATATAAAAATACTGTCAATAGAAACTGGTTCATCTGACAACAAAAACTATAATAATAATTCATGGGGAAGGGTATGGGGGACCTCCACCATTCCTTCACCTTTTGCTCTCTGAAAGCAGCCAATCAGTGGACAATGTGGAGCCAAGTGGGAGGAGGCAGACCTCCTCTTTTGTCTCATAACCCAGGGAGGGGTAGATAAATAAATAACCTGGATAACCCATGCTCACTGAGCACTGATGATGGCCAGGTACTCCCCCAGTCACTGTAGGTATGCCATTGTGATGGCTCCTCATGGTGCCTTACCAAATAGTTACTACCATAATACTCACTTTCCAGATGTGGAAACTGAGGCACGAAGAGATAGAGGAATTTGCCCAAGGCTGCATATCTGGGAGGAGGAGAAGATGGATTTGAACCAGAGAGTCTAGTTTCAAGGCCTACCTGCCCTGTGTGTGCCAGGAATGCACTGGCTTCCCACTCCACTTCCCACTGCACCAGTCCTGGCACAAACATGTAGCTCTTGCTTGTGCTGTTGCCAGTGCTCCAAAGGCTCCTTGTGTAGACCTCACAGACCTACACTCCCAGGCCATCCTGTGTAAGTGGTCAAGGAGCCATGCAGACCCCAACTCTGACCCAGACAGCTGACTTACACACATTCCCTGAATGACAAAGTCACCATCTCTTTCCCCGTAAGAGTCTCTCCCTTAGAGACAATGAGGAAAATGGGGAGCAGAGGAAAGGACAGACCAATTTAAGGAGTGTCCATAAAGAGGAGGAGGGCTACTAAGACAACTCTTTTATTATTTATTTTATTTTTATTTTTTCAAGACAAATCTTTTAAAGGAATCATTTGGGTGGCAGAAAACGGGGACAGAGATTAAGCTCAGCCACTCTGTTGCTCGGGTGCTTATCACCTGTGCTCCGCCCCTCTCCAAAAAAATCCTGGGTGAATAGCAGTCAGAAGCCTCCAGGCCCTCTGAAAGGTCACCTCCAGCTGGCCTCAAGCAGCCTGCCGCCTTCCCCTTGGCAGCAGCTCCAGCCACACAACATAGGAGCTGGGACCTCACCCCCAGAGGCCTGCAGCCACTTCCAGATGCACCAAAGGCTGTTCAGGACCGTCCTGAAGGGAGTCTCAAGGAGGCCACTGCCCTGCAGAGCAGTTCCAAAGGGCCAGCATTACTATGCGTATAATCTTACGAGGCAAATCCCCACTTCACTAATTCTGCTGTGCCCCGTGTGGACTAGTAGGAACAGGATTGTGGGGCTGCCTGCTGCGTCCTCACACCGGGACTGTCTAGCCCAGGATCATCTAGTCCAGGGGTGTCAACTGGCACTTTTTGGAGTTTGGGGGGAGGAGGAAATCCAGTCTGGAACACCGACCTTTCCGGACCACCCTTACCCAGGCACATTTCAGAGACCGCAGTGGAGACCGCCTCCGAAGACAGCAGGCTCCGCGTAGGTTTCACGCCTCAAGTTCTGGGGCGAGCTGCCTGAGTCTGCAAGGCCCAGCGCAACGAGCACAGGACACAGAGGCTGGCCTTCTTCTGTGGCATCTCTGCCTCCGCGCGTGTGCACCTCAGTTCCTGGCGCCCACCCTACCCCCACCCCACCGAAATCTCGCTAAAAAGGTCCCGGGATTTGTGGTTGCGGGGAGTGCGGGGGGAGGGGGGCGAAGGGGACCCTGTAGACCTGCCTCTCACCCGGACGCCTATAGGAGGTTCAGGTTCCACCTCAATGACATGAGTTTAAATATGGGACAGCCCCTGCAGGTCTTCAAGAAGATCACAGGGGCGGGGGGGCGGGGTGGAGTGGGGGTGAATGTCAAGCGTCCGGCAACTGGCTCCGCACTCCCCTGCCACCCCGAGCGCCGCGTCATCCAAACGGAGGACTCGGGGACCCCCAGCCTCGCGGCTGGAGAGGACAGAACAGAGGAGTGGGCGGCAACCGGCCGGAGAAGAGGATCTGAGGTGAGGCGCAGCCGAGGCAGGAGGCCCGGTGGGGGGCCCGGGAGGACCTGGGGCGGGGCTGGACCCCGGGGCTGGGGGCCTGGACGGTAGCTCTGCGGGGGCCGCGGAAGTGGGCAAACGGGGAGGGGCACGCGGGCGCCTGGACTGGGGCGCGGAGGGTGCGCGGCGCGGGATTGGCGGGCGCTCCCCGCGGGGCCAGCCGCCCGCTCTTCAGGCGGATCAGGGAGAGGCGCGCGCGCGTCTGCGCAGGAGCCCCCGGCCGCGTCCTCTCCGCCGCGCTCCCGCCGACCTGGGCGGGCACCCCTGGGCATGAGCGCTTCCGTGACGCTGCCCCCCGGGGGCGGGGAAGAGCTCCAGACGGCCTGGTCCCCAGCGGTCAACGCCAGCTGAGCCCCGGCCGGGGAGGGGGAGGCGGCGGCGGGGAGTCGGGACGCGGGGGCAACGGGCATGGTCGCCGTCCAGTGCATCTACGCGCTGGTGTGCCTGGTGGGCCTGGTGGGCAACGCCCTGGTCATCTTCGTGATCCTCCGCTACGCCAAGATGAAGACGGCCACTAACATCTACCTGCTCAACCTGGCCATCGCGGATGAGCTCTTCAGGCTGAGCGTGCCCTTCGTGGCCTCGTCGGCCACCCTGCGCCACTGGCCCTTCGGGTCCGTGCTGTGCCGTGCGGTGCTCAGTGTGGACGGCCTCAACATGTTCACCAGCGTCTTCTGTCTGACCGTGCTCAGCGTGGACCGCTACGTCGCGGTGGTGCACCCTCTGCGCACCGCCACCTACCGGAGGCCCAGCGTGGCCAAGCTGATCAACTTGGGCGTGTGGCTGGCGTCCTTGCTGGTCACCCTGCCCATTGCCATCTTCGCAGACACCAGGCCGGTTCGGGGCGGCCAGGCCGTGGCCTGCAACCTGCATTGGCCGCACCCGGCCTGGTCCGTGGTCTTTGTGGTCTATACTTTCCTGCTGGGATTCCTGCTGCCCGCTCTGGCCATCGTCCTGTGCTACCTGCTTATCGTGGGCAAGATGCGGGCGGTGGCACTCCAGGCCGGCTGGCAGCAGCGGAGGCGCTCGGAAAAGAAGATAACGTGGCTGGTGCTGATGGTGGTAGCCGTCTTTGTGCTCTGCTGGATGCCTTTCTACCTGGTGCAGCTGCTGAACCTGTTTGTGACCAGCCTTGATGCCACGATCAACCATGTGTCCCTCATCCTCAGCTACGCCAACAGCTGCGCCAACCCCATCCTCTATGGCTTCCTCTCCGACAACTTCCGCCGGTCCTTCCAGCGGGTTCTCTGCCCGCAGTGCTGCCTCCTGGATGCGCCTGGCGGTCCTGAGGAAGAGCCCCTGGACTATTATGCCACTGCCCTCAAGAGCAGAGGTGGGGCAGGGTGGATATGCTCTCCATTCCCCTGCCAGCAGGGGCCCTTGCAACCAGAACCCAGCGGCAAGCAGGTCCCCCTCACCAGGACCACCACCTTCTGAAGAGCCCTTTCACCTCCTCCCCAGCCTGGCCACGGCAAAGAAGTCTGTGCTACCCTTACCAGCCAGCAGACTGCCTGCCCCGATGCTCCCCTAAAAGCCACCGCCTGTTCCCACCACAGTCACCTTTTTTCCAGCAGTCTGTGTGCTAATCCCAAGAGCATCAAAGCTCCTTTGCTTTCTCCCATCCCCAGGACTCTGGGTTTCAGGAGGACGCCTTCATGGGGGTTGGGCTCCTCTGAGCACTGGTCTATGATGTTAATCATCCCTGGACCTCTGACTGTTTTCGGAGGGGTGGGAAGCAGGGGCATGCCAGGGAAGAATGGACATCTGCCTGTGACTTGTTACAGAACCTCTGCCCAGGAGAGGACTGTCCAGAGGGTGGAAGCAGCCAGTGCCCTTGCTCTCTGCCGACTCTTTCGCTGTGATGGGGACATCACATGTTCAATACGAGAAGGGAGGAAGGAAGATGCCTCCAAGCACACTCCCTTTGCTTCCGTTCCTGGGCTCTCCTCTAACTGAAATTTATGCATGACAGTCTGAGGCACCAGCTTTTTCACCCCCCAGGCCCAGTGCCTGCTTGCGGTCACAAGTGTCACTCCAGTTGTCTTGGGCTAGCAGCAGGCTTCCTGTGAGTAGAAAATGTTTGGAGAGTTGTAATGTGGGATTTGCTATGAGGCACAAAACCAGGTCAGTAATAAAAAAGCAGAAAGGATAAATCTCATCTAGTTCCTATGATGTGATTTTTTGCCTCGACTCTTTGGCATGGGAGCACGAGACCTCATTAAATCGGCAGTTTATATCACAGTGGTGAGTGGGAGGGGAGTCAGGGGGAGGGGAAAGGAGACCTGAGAACGCAGATGGAAATCAGCCCAGGTTTTGGATAGAGGAGGCAGCTCGATCACCCACTATTAAAAAATAAAAAATCGCAATTCAGTAAAACATCAGCCAGATGTAGATAACAAACATATGTAGGCTGAACACAGTAAATGACTCTAACTTTTTGCCTGATGTTAACCCAAGGATAAATTAGCTTTTCCCAAAGGAAAAAGTCAGCTTACGAGGAGCTTTAATCCTGTTTTTTACGAAGAAATGCTTGCAATGCTTATGTGGGGCTCTGGAGTGAAAACATGCTATTAAACATGCGTGAACAGCTATGTGGGGAGACTACACCTGGCTTAGCACAGCAGAAGGCCCTTCTGGGTTTGGCTGATCCCATCCAGATGGAGAGAGGAACAGGCGGGGAGGGTGAGGTGGACAGCTGAAGAGAGAGCCCCTTTGCTCTTCGGAGGGCTCAGCCCCTCCAGAGCTCGAAGCTTCCTGGCAGGAGGGCTTTGAGAGAAAATACACTGGACTTGCCAGCCTAGCAGACCTCGCCTGACTTGAGCCTTTTCAGGCAGCCACCAGGTGTCCCAAGATGGGCACAGGGGGCTTCTAGGAGGCTAAAGAAGATTGAGGCAGGGCCAGGAGGGCAGGGTGAGGCTAGGGGGATGCTCTGCTTCCACCATGGGCAGGGGCTCCTCTCTGAGATCAAGGAAGAAGCAGAACAAGGCTCTTCCCTGCAGTGTTAGGGCCAAGATCAGAGTTTTACTTGATATGAGCAGATGCTTGGTGTATGGGAAACAGGCAGGAAAGCTGACTTCTGGTCCAAGATATAACTATTGTATGATGCAGGCGAGCAGCTGAACCCCAGGGTCCTCAGAGTTCTGTTGATAAAATCAAGAGGTCTTCCAGTACCTGCACACTGTGACAGAGTTCTAACCTTATGCTCTTTTCCATGTGGCTTTAGATTCCAGCTTCTTCCCTACTGAATGAAAACAAAGATAAAAATAAAGACAACCTTGCTTGAACTGTCTTTGGGCACATAACCATTGGATCCTTGCTCCTCTAGATGGCCAGCCAGCAGCATGATGTGTAGGCAATAATCAGTGTCGATCCAACTGTGTCTCAGAGGGCTGGATGGGCGAGGTAGAGATGTCGGTCTTTAGGGTCTGCGCATTGGGGTGGTCTACATCTGTCTGGCAGAGAAAATGTGTAGCCAATCTGTACTACATCCTGGAGACATGGCTGTGGGTTGGAAGCTCCGAACTAAGACACAGAACCCCTTGAACTCACAAACATGCATGCACACATGTGCACACACACATGCACGTAAACACATGCACACGGACCATCCCAAACCTATTGTACCCACTAGAGTTGCTTTGGGCATCTGGAGTAAGTCAGTGCTAGTGTCTGCTGGCTTCGTGTAACCGTAATTTCTTGGCAGTTTTTAAAACTGAAGTATTTCTTTGTTGCCCAGTGCTGGGCAGTGTGCAGCAGGGTGCTCACTCGGTAAATGTGGTTGCCCTCCAGGCTGAGAGCAATGCCCTGAGGGGTTCGTGGCCCTGGCAACGATCTGAAATGGGCAGGGGCTGCTGGGCCTTTGCCTGCTCCCACCCCCACTTGTGTGGGGTTGGGGTCCTTCTCTTCAGTCTGCAACGGTGATTCACACCCAGCAAACTCTCTGCTGAGGAAGATGGGGCACTGCCCAGGAGTCTTGGCAACACTCCTGCTGGGCCGAGTATTTAAATGCAAAGTTTTAAACTAGTTGGTGATAGCTGAAGCAGAGGCAGCCTTAGGCGATAAAAGGAAAAGTCGCTGAGAGGCAGGGGCCCTCCAGACGCCGGACCAGGGAGCAGTGCTGTAATTTCTGGGAGCCTCAGTTTCTCACGTGAAATATGCACAAAAGCAGGGTGTGGGTTTGGAGTTCTTGTCAGCTGTAAACCGCCTTCTCAAAGGCACTGGAGAGGCACGCTAACTGAGGCAATGGGAGGGTGAAAGACAACATTCTTCTATGCTGAGTACTCTCTCTATCCCTTGTTTAAAATGAGCGTTAACACGGCCCCTGACCTGGGAGTCATAAATCATGCCTGGAGGGGGCGGGGCTGGGGGTGGAGGGGGCGGGGCTGACCATTGTCTTCCTCTGTTGCAGATCCCTCTCGCTTCTGGGGGCGAGGCGGGGTTAACAACGCGGCACCGGCAGCAGCAAGCCCCTCAACAGTGCTGCTGGCCTTAGTTCGCATCAACCCTGCGGCCTTTGTAACAGCTGGTTGCCTGAAACCCTCCCAGTTCCTGAGCAGCAAGATTGCAGTGAAATGAAGTCGGGGATGGAGGCAGCCCGGGTCCTGAGAGCACTCACACATTTCACATGCCTGGGCGGGTGGGCCAAGCAGCCACGCTTTGACCTGAGTCCTGCTCTGGCAACCCTATAACAGCTTTTGGCTTCAAAATGAATGAAAACATTTTTCATCCGGGTAGAAACAGCCTTTAGGCACCCCCTCAATCAGTGAACTTGCCTTGTCTTTTAAAGTTGTCTTTAACTTGCTGTTCAGTGACAAGCCAGGTGTTTATAATTTCTTGATGGTGGGAATGACAGGTGATCACTCATCGGAATTCTTGCCCTATCTGTCAGCACTATGTCACTGAGCACAGATGCATATTATTTTCATTTTCAGCTTTAAATTCTTGGCTTCACTTTCATTAAAAAACATCATACCTAGCACTGCTGAGGTGCCAAAGGCTGATATCAAAGGAGAAAATAACCCAAATGTTTGGCCATGCTACTCAGAAACCGGACATGGCAGCCTGAGCAGTAACTGGGCAAACCCCCGTAAATTTGGGTTTTGAAGTTTTTCTCGGGCAGGCTGTTGGTCATGAAACATCCCCGTCTCTCACCACCCCTTACCCTAAGTAGGTGACAGAAAAGCCTCAGATTCTTTAAGCACAAATGTCAGAATCCTAAGGCTCTGTCCTTGGTTGCACACCATCAGTCAGCACCACACCCCGAAGCTCTGCTCTGTGGAGGTACATGCAGGTGGGGGTGCATGCACACAGCACAGTGAGTGCTGCTTCTGGCAGCTTCGAGGCACCGTGGGGAGCCTCCACAGACAACACCCCTGTGTTCATGAAGCTCAGAGATTAGGTGGCAAAAGATGAGCATTAATCAGGGAACCACAGAAATGAGAGTACAATTTTAAGCTAAAGTTAGAACAACCCAGGAATGGATTCTGGTTTCTGAGATGATGTACTAAAAGAATCTGACTTGGTCGTTAGGGCAGGGTTCCCCAGGAAGGTTGCTGGAGATGCCCTCCTTTGAAGGATGAGTGAGAGTCAGCCAGGAGAAGAAGGGGGTAGGGTGGAAGATACAAAGGGCTCAAGGCAGAGAGGACAGCATGTGCAAAGGGCCTTTGGTGGTAGGCACTACAGATGCCCAAGGGGACTGGAACAGAGGACAGATAATGCCCAGTCAGCAAGAGGCATTAGGAAACAGACCAGCAGCGCCTCATAAGTCCCCTTAAGGACTTGGGACCCTGCCATGGCACAGCGGTGACAAGCTCTAATGAGAGGGTCATTGCCTGGCAAAGAAACCCATCAAGGGCTCTTGAGTCCTTATAAAGCTGGGGCACTCGTGCCTCTATTTTGCACCAGGAGTTTGGCAGGAGGAACATGTTCTTTCCATTTCAACATTCATCAGCTTTTTTCAACAGGAAGACAAGAGTTCCCAATCATATCAATCGATTGGCTTAGTGTCTAACCAGGACGGGCACTTTTGAAAATGGGGGAGAACTTAAAAAAAAAAATCAAGATTAACTGTGTCACCTAGAATGGAAGTACTGAGTTGGTTAAAATAAAAATATGGCTTCCTATTATGGAAAGCCACCGTGGGTACCCACTGATGCCACGTGGGGGTGCGGCGCCTGGGTCTAGATGGGCTGCCCGAGGTCAGCGTTGGCACAGTGTGGATGTGTGGAGGCCTGGGTAGAACAGACTTGCGGACACACAGACCAGGGACAGAACACCCATGTAACAGCCCGATGTGACTGCAGGAAAGCTCCGTGGCCCTTGGAGAAAGGCCGGAACAAGACTACCTACACCTGATTGTGCGGGGGACTGGCCCAGAGGAAGGCTCAGTATTCGGACAGTGACCAACTGGCAGAGAAGAAGACAACAAGGTCAGTACA